CTGGGAGTCTAGAGTGTTTTTGATTACTGATTTAATTTTATTAGTAGGTAACACTGTCTTCAGATTTTCTGTTTCTTCCTGGTTCAGCCTTGGAAAATTGTATGTTCTTGGAATTGAGCCATTTATTTCAGGTTGTTCAATTTGTTGGCATGCACTTGTTTGTAGTATTTCCTTACAATCCTTTATATTTCTTTGATGTCAGTTGTCACTTCTCACTTCTGATTTTATTTGGGCCCTCTCTGTTTCTTGATGAGTGTGGCTAAAGGGTTATCTTTTTTTTTTTTTTTCCTTTTTTCAAAGAAACAGCTCTCAGTTTTGTTGATCTTTTCAATTGTCTTTTTAATCTCTATTTTGTTTATTTCTGCTCTGATTTTTATTGTTTCCTTCCTTCTACTCACTGTGGGCTTTGTGGGGTTTTTTGTTTGTTTTTGTGTTTTGGTTAGATGAAGGTGTTTTTTTTTCTCATGGTAGATCTGTATCACTGTAAAATTGCCTTTTATAACTGCCTTGGCTGTGTCCAACAGATTTGGGGTCCCTATATCTTCATTTTCATTTGTCTCAGTGTATCTTTTGATTTCTTCTGTGATCTCATTGTTAACCCACTCATTGTGTAGGGGCATGTTGTTTAGCCACCACATGTTTGTGTTTTTCAGTTTTCTTTTTGTAATTGATTTCTAGTTTCACACCATTGCGATTGGGGAAGATAGGAGACTTGTTTAGTGGCCTAACGTGTGGCCTACATTTCAGCCAGTGTGACTTTTGAGCTATCCTGGAAAATGTTCCATGTGCACTTCACAACTGCACCTTCTGCTGCTTTTGTGTGAAGTATCCTAAAAGTATTAAGTCCATGTGGTCTAATGTGCCATTTAAGGCTTATATTTCCTTGCTGGTTTTCTATCTGGAAGATCTGTCCATTGATATCAAAGGGATATAAAAGTCCTCTACTGTGACTATATTACTGTCAATATTTCCCTTTATGTCTGCAATATTTGCTCTATATATTTAGGTGTTTCTAGGTTGGGTACGTAGATGTTTGTGAAGGTTGTATACTCTTGCTGAATTGATCCAGTTATCATTATGAATGCCCATTTTTGACTTGTTCTGGCCCTGTTTTTCAAGTCTGTTTTGTCTGATAAGAATATTGCTCTCCTGCTTTTTTCTTTTTTCATTTTCATTTGCGTGAAATATCTTTTTCTACCCCCCTTTCAGCCAATGTGACACTCGATCTGAAATGGGCCTCTTATAGGCAGCATTTGTATTGGGTTTATTGTTTTATTCTTTTAGCCATCCTGTGTCTTTTGATTAGGGCATTTGGTCTATTTAAATTTAAAGTAATTATTGTAGTTATTGCCATTTTATTCATTGTTTGCTGATTGTTTTTGTAGTTCTTCTCTGTTCCTGTCTTACTCTTTTGCTCTCTTCTCTTGTGTGTTGATTACTGTCTGTAGTTTTTTAAAAAATTTCTTTCTCTTTATTTCTAGTATATCTCTGGAAGATTTTTGGTTTGTGATTACCATGTGCTTTACATATACAAAACTATGTTTATAGCAGCTTATTTTAAGTTGATGGTCGCTTAAATTCAAACACATTCTAAAACCACTACAGCTTCTGCCCCCTCACATGTTTATGTTTTTGTTTTTATTTTTAACTTTTGTGTGTGTATTTGTGTATATCCCTTAATTTATTGTTGTACTTAGACATGATCTTTCTACATTTGTCTTTTAACTTTCATGCTAGCTTTATTGTTGGTTCATCCACTGCTTTCACTGTTTGTCTTTGTCAGTGAAAATTTTTTCCCTTTCCTATTTTTCTTATTCACATTTTATATCTTTTCTATTTAAAGAAGTCCCTGTAATTTCTGGTAATACTGGTTTGGTGGTGACGAACTCCTTTAGCTTTTTCTTGTCTGGGAAAACCTTTCTTCTTTAATTCTACCTTGCTGGGAAGAGTAATCTTGTTTTTGTGTGTCTTCACTTTTTGTCACTTTGAATATTTTGTGCCAGTCCCTTTTAACCTGCAAACTTTCTGCTGAGAAATGAGCTTACAGCCTTATGGGAACTCCCATGTATGTAATTATTTGCTTTTTTTGTTGGTACTCTTAAGATTTTCTCTTTTCTTTAACTTTTGGTGTTTAATTATGATGTGTCTTGGTGTGGGCCTCTTCAGGTTAATCATTTTGGGGGACTCTCCGTGCTTCCTGAACTATTATGTCTATTTCCTTCTGCAGGTTAGGGAAGTTTTCAGTCATTATTTCTTGAAATAGGTGTTGGGATTTTTAGTTGTTGTTGTGTGTGTGTGTGTGTGTGTTTCTCTCCTCCTGAGAACCCTGTGATACAAATTTGATGTGCTTAATGTTGTCCCAGAGGTCCCTTAAATTGTACTCATTTTTTAAAATTCTTTTCTCTTTTTGCTGTTTTAACTGGATATTTTTCACTACCTTGTCTTCCAGACCTGATTGAATCTTCTACATTATTTAATCTGTGGTTGAGTTCCTCTGGTGTATTCTTCATTTCTTATTGGTTCTTTTATATTCAAGATCTCTTTGTGGAAGTCTCACTGAGTTCATCTATTCTCCTGAGTTTACCGAGCATCTTTATTTACCAACATTTTGAACTGTTTACCTGTTAGATTGCTTCTCTCCATTTCCTTTAGTTCTTTTGGTGGAGTTTTGTTTGTTCTTATGCTTGGGGCATGTTTCTTTGTCTCTTCAGTTTTGCTGATCCTCTGTTTGTATTTGTATTAGGTAGATCTGCTGTTGTTTCCAGGTCTTGAAAGAGTGGCTTTATAAAAGTTGTCCTGTGGGGTCAGTGCACAGCGCCCCCTGGTCACCTGAGGCTGGTGCTCCAGGGGTGTTCTCTCTGTGGGAATGTGTGCCTTCTTGTTATACTTGAGCCCCAACTGTTGCTAGCACATCAGTGGGTGGGGTTGACCCTCAGGCTAACTGGATGGGAGGGCCTGCTCTGACCACAGGCAGCCAAGCTGTTTTGCAGGGGCACACCCCAGGGAGCACAAGGTGCTTTGGCAAGGCTCTGGTGCCAGGCAAGGCCATCCATCAGGTGTGCTCGTGAGAAGCTGCTTGGGAGGGGCTCTGGTACTTACACGTATCAGCAGTTTTTTAGTGCTGGGTTTGGAGGCACATGGGGGAGGCATATATACTAGCCAAGGCTGGCTGCCACTCTTTCCAGGCTTGGGACAGTTTGATGGAAGCTATGATGGGAGCAGTGGCCAGCTGCCACTTGTGCTAGGCATGGGGCAGCTTGACTGGAGCCATGTTGCAGGCCACTTGGCAGGAGCTACAGTGTAAGCTGAAGCTGATTGCTGCTCATGGGGTTTGTGGACCTTCAGGAAAGTCTGTAGCACAAGGCTAGGGAAGTTGCTTTGGAAGAGGCTCCAGCTAAACGAGCAGGTTGAGTGGGGCAGGGTCTCAGGGAGATGCCAGGGCAGGGCGATTGGTATTAGCCAGGTTAATGAAGAGCAGTGTATTTTGTACTCGTCCATGCCAGGCCAGCAGGGTGTGAGGACAGTTGAACAAAGGAACAGTGGTCCCTGCCAGCACTTGCATCCCCTCAGAGAATTCTCTCAATCCCTTGCTTCCCCATCGCTCACCCTAAAGTCAGTTGAATCCCTCCCCATTATGACCCAGGCCCTTCGCAAGCTGCTGCCTCTGTATTGGAGCTTGGAGCAAGTTTGTTTGTACTTCAGCTGTTTAAGATCAGCGTCTCAGGTCTCCCATAATGCTGGGACGTAATCCCCACTGGTTTCCAAAGCCAGATGTTATAGGTATTCCTTTTCCTGGCTCAGGTCCCCCGGAGCCAGGGGGACAGGTGTGGGGCTTGAACCCTGTGCTCCTCAGTGAGGACCTCCATAGCCCTGTTTATTAATCCCTACCACCTGGGTATGGGACCTGCTCAGTCTGCATCTCCACCCCTCCTACCAGTCTCTGTGTGGCTTCTTTATATCCTTAGTTTTAGAAATTCTGTTCAGGTACTTTTTAGGTGGTTCTCAGTGATGGTTGTTCTATAATCTAGTTGCAATTTTCTGTGTTCATGGCAGAAGGTGAGTTCAGCGTTTACCTACTCTGCGATCTTGACTCTGCCACTTCCCTTTGAAATTTCAGTAGGGATTACATTGAATTTGTAGGCTGTTTTGGTAGTATGAGCATTCTAACAATATTGGTTCTTCCAATCCATGAGCATGGGATATCTTTCCATTTATTTGTCTTCAATTTCTTTCACGATTGTCCTCTTTTTTCCTAAAATTTTACTTATTTCTGTAGAGAGGAGAAGGGAGGGAGAAAGAGAGAAACATCGATTGTGAGAGATACATCTATTGGTTTTCTCTCACACACACACCCCCTACCCGAACTGGGGACCTAGCCCACATCCCAGGCACATGCCCTGACTGGGAATTGATCCGCTGACCTTTGGGTTCTCAGGCAGGCACTCAAACCACTGAGCCACCCTGGCCAGGACTCATGATGGTCCTAAGAGTTTTCAGTGTACAAGTCTTTGACATCCTTGGTTAAATTTGTTCCTAGGTATATATTTTTATTTTTGATATCAGTTGTAAATGGGATTGTTTGCTGAATTTCTCTTATGAAACTTCATTAACAACTGAAAACTTTCAGGAGGAAAATATAACTAGTAAGTGATAAAAAGGTTTAGATACTGAAAGCGTAATGGATTACCAAGGGAAGCTGGGAACCCTAGGGACCATCTTAGTCTTTGGGGTCAATGTCATAGCCTTCCCTTACACATTCTGTGTTGCCCTGAGAGCAGACCTTCAGTCTAGGTGAGTAGTTTCATTGTTGTGTTTTTATATTTGTAAATGGGTTTATGCAGAGAGTGATTTAACAAAAAGCCATATGTAGTTTTCTAATCAGCTTTGAGACTATTTCCCTAATGGGTTATATTACTGTCTTTGATGTTATGTTGCCTTATTTATTCACAATTTATAATAGAATAATAATAGCTTGTGTGTTCCTTTTTTTTTCCCCACAGGTTGCAGAACTTTTATTTCGAACTGCCCGAAATGAGGGGATCAATTTTGACACTGTCTGTGGAGTACCTTACACAGCTTTACCATTGGCTACAGTTATCTCTTCAGTGAACCAAATTCCAATGCTGATTAGAAGAAAAGAAACAAAGGATTATGGTAAAATAAAAGTAGTATAAGGATTAAGTTGATATGTAACTTCATATTGCTAGAATTTTTTCTTTTAGGCACAGCTTTTACCAGTCACCTTGAATATTTTTCATAGGTCCTTTAAGTTGTTATGGCTGTGGAATTTGTTCACCGTTTCTATAAATTAATTATCTTCCTTTCATTTAGAGTCTAGAGGTGAAATGGCAATGAAAAAAGTGTTTTTGCATTGTATCTGTGAGACCCAACATTTTTAACCAGCCCTTCCCTTGCCAGCAGAATGTTCTAAGAGCACTTTGCCAGTATATTTATATTTAAATTACATGAAGAGAAATGCATGAATAAAATTACTCAAAGCAATATACATGTCACATGGGATTCTTAATTTTTTTTTTTTCCATGGGCCACAGCAATAGGTTATCAGGTGGGTGTTTTCAATTTGTGGGCTTGCTTTTCAACCAAATCAATCTAAAAATATTGACACTGACTTGATACTTGATATTGAGGAAGTAATGAGTTTTTTTGTTTGTTTTGTTTTGTGTTGGTGTGGTGTAGTATTTCTGTTATTTTTTTTAAAAGAATCCTTACCTCCTGTGACTGCATTTAAGAAATTTTTATGATGAAATAATGATTCTGAGAATTACTTCTAAAAACTGTGTGGGAAGGGAGGGAGTGGGGATATTGCTGAAATAAGATTGATCCCTAATTTTTAAGTGACGAAGTGCTGTATTACAGGGTGTTTGTTAAACTATTTTGTCTAGTTTTATTTGTTCGAAATTGTCTGCTATAAAAAATAGTAAAAATACTTTTGCTGCTTGAAGGCACAGTATTTCTCTCTAGGAGTTGCTGCCCTTAAGGAAACTATTACTTCTGTATTCTTACTGTGTTCCTTCAAATACTTCTTATGCCTGTAACTACTTGCAGTCTTGTGTTGATTCAGTTAAACTTGACAGTTCTTCAAGGGGGAGGAAAGAAGTTAAGAGGAAAGGAAGGGGAAAAGGCAAAGATGTACCTGTGGTAAAGCTCCAAGAGTAGCCAAAATATTCACCAGTTCTATTTCTGTTTCAAAATAAGGCAAATTTGGTAGTGGAAAATATAAAAATGAGTATCTAAAAATGAGTCTATAAAGTCTACAGCCTGAGTTAGTTATATCTTTAGATTATCAGAAAATAGTTTATCTTGGGGGTTGGAGTGGGAAGGTGTATTTAGTCACATTGCATTATGTAGTTCATAAATTTGTAGTGACTCGTCTAACTGGTTGCTGAGTATTTTCCCTCCTGAATTTATACATGTAAAGGCCAATTTTCTGCCTGATCTTGAGTAAATGAACTGGTTCATTGATGGAAAAAGGAATGATTTCCTTGAGGATATCGTGTTATTTGTTTCATCACTTTCCCTTGATCTAGGTGATCTTGCTTAAGAAATCCCGTGTTTGGAATTTTGATCATAAACATGTTAAGTGGTTTTTATTTGCGTTTCAAAATAATTTGCCAGTTTTACTGTAAATATTCTGTATATGTAACTGACAATTTTGGGATACAGAGACACTGAATAAAACAGTAATTATGGCATATTGAAGATTCATCAGAAATAAAGAAGCTCCAAAGTAGATTTTCAGAAAATAAGTTTTAGATCATCTACCTCTTCATAAATACATGCCAAACTTATTTTGTAAGCTACATCTTGAGTTGAATGAAATATTAAATTGGAATCAATATAATTCTTTCTTGTCCAGGTACTAAGCGTCTTGTAGAAGGGGCTATTAATCCAGGAGAAAACTGTTTGGTCATTGAAGATGTCATTACCAGTGGATCTAGTGTTTTGGAAACTGTTGAGATTCTCAAGAAGGAGGGCTTGAGGGTCACTGATGCCGTGGTGCTGCTGGACAGAGAGCAAGGAGGCAAGGGTAATTTGCAGGCACACGGGATTCATCTCCACTCAGTGTGTACATTGTCCAAAATGCTGGAGATTCTTGAGCAACAGGAAAAAATTGATGCTGAGATGGTTGAGAGAGTGAAGAGATTTATTCAGGAGAACGTTTTTGCAGCAGCTGATCATAATGGTTCTCTCCCGTCTATAAAGAAGGCACCGCAAGAACTCAGCTTTGGTGTCCGTGCAGAGCTGCCCAGGATCCACCCAGTTGCATCGAAACTTCTCAGGCTTATGCAAAAGAAGGAGACCAACCTGTGTCTGTCTGCTGACATCTCAGAGTCCAGTGAGCTCCTGCAGCTGGCAGATGCTTTAGGACCCAGCATCTGCATGCTCAAAACTCATGTAGATATTTTGAATGATTTTACTTTGGATGTAATGAAGGAGTTAACAACTCTGGCAAGACACCATGAGTTCTTAATATTTGAAGACCGGAAATTTGCGGATATAGGAAACACAGTAAAAAAGCAGTATGAAGGTAAGTATTATTCAGGAATCTGCACGAATCAGAAATCCAGCTTAAATTTGCTGAAGAGAAAAGGAAACATACTGGCTCATATCACTGAAAGTCCAGCCATAGAACAGGCTGTCAAGCATGGTTGGATCCAGGAGCTCAAGTGATGTCTTTTGGACTTGCTTTCTCTTCTATCAGCTCTGCTTTCTTCCTTCTTCTTTCTCAGGTAGGCACACTCCTTATGCCAACCCCAAGTAAGTCTTTTAAACCTTTAGGTATAAAATAAGTAAAGGTACAGCTAACACCTTTACTGGCTTGCCTGGATAATGGGCCCCGCCCCTGGTAATGTGAGGTTAACTCTGTGTAAACTTTCATAAGCTGAGATCTGGCCAAGCATAATTCCCCAAAAGAAAATGGATGTGCCAAGGCCAGGAGATGGGGCATGGGTTCTAGGCCTGCAAAAATGACAGAGGTTGGCCCTGGCAGAACACAGCAAGTTCTGATATTTGAAGACTAAAAATTGAAGATACAGGAAACAGTAAAAAGGTAGTATAAAGTTGTAGCATTTATTTTTATCAGAAAAAGATTTGTTGATATACATTCTTGTAAAAAATTATGTTAAATAGGAACTCAAAGTAGAGCATATCAAAGTAGAGCCTATGCTGGTTGAAAAAAACTGCTTAATTCTCTACCTGTTCTTTTTTGCAAATTCCCGCCATAATGTACATATCTAATGCTTTTTTTCCCCTTTTAACCTAATATTTTATTTTATCATGCTAACAACACTTATAGGCATTTTTCAAGATAATTTTTTTTAAGTAATGCATATTCTTAAGCTATTTCTTTAGAATCGTTTTGTCTATAAATGATTTTTTATGTGCTTAAGATGTCCTGCTTAGTTTATTGACCGATGTAAAAGTTACGCAAACTTTTTATAGCTTTACATATAGTCTTTTAAAAAATCGATTAGGGTTATTTCTATCAGCTTTTAAAACCAATTCAATTGCCTATTGAAATTTGAAGGACTAAAGAGACCTTAGGAACAGGTGGAAGATTTGATAAATGGTAAAGTTGCTGCAAGATCCCTGCAGAATGAAAATTTGTCATCTTCCTAGGACTTTCAACATGTTGATATCTTTGATGCATAAACACCCATCCTCACCGCAGTCCATTTCTTTGTTTTTAAAATTTTTTCCACATTTCTTTTTTAATTTAAATCTTTTTTGTATTTTTTTACATTACCTTTTAGTCCCCTATACCCTCCTTCACCGCCCCTCCTCCCCCATTTCTAACTGTGTAAGTTTTATTGGTGGTCACAAGCTTCAGCCTACAAGGAAAAATAATCTTAATGTTGCTTGTAAACGAAGTGCAGACCTTGCAGGATTTTTTTCTCATTGTGATCACTTAACTAACTACTAAGTAAGCAGATAAGTTTCACACTTAGAATCATAGGTCCACTGAAACATTAAAATTCTTGAAGTGTTTCACTTTCATTAATGCATTACTAGGAGATTATTTCATCTTGTAATTAGTTGGGAAAAAAGTTAAAAGGGTTTTGTGTGAAATTTAACAAATGTTTTCCCCACTGTCCTTCTTCCAAGGTGGTGTCTTTAAAATAGCTTCCTGGGCTGACATAGTAAATGCTCATGCGGTGCCAGGCTCAGGCGTTGTGAAAGGCCTGAAAGGAGTCGGCCTGCCTTTACACCGGGGGTGCCTGCTCGTTGCGGAAATGAGCTCTGCCGGCTCCTTGGCCACAGGGGATTACACTGCAGCGGCGGTATGTGACACAGGGCCTGGGCTGTTACACTGCCTGTTACAGAGGAAGAGAGTAGCTTAGTTTGGGGTCTGTGAAAACCTGCTGAAAAAAAGTCAGCTGTTGTTTGTGTGATGGTATATTAATACTAGTTGGCTAGAGTTCCCTGATAATTATTAGCATTTTATACTTTGTAGTGTACCTTGTAGTGGACACTTGGAAGATTTAAGTTGTATGTGCAGGGGAGAAACATTGAAACATAGATATTTGGTCAAATCAACATCTGCCCATAGCTTAACTGACCTTTAAGATAAAGTAGCTTTGTTTCATCTCACTGTGGGTTAAAATTGAAGAGCTTCTTCCCAGACATGCAACACCTCAGAATCTCCCAAGTCCCCAGAGACACATTCTCAGGGCAGCAGCCCACACGCACTGGCCTTTCCTTTTTCAGTCTTTGACATTGGTTGGTGTTGTATGGGAAAGCTCATAACTCGAGTCCAGACACCTTGTTTTCTCCAATAACTCCCCCATTACTAAAAGTTCTTAAGATACTGTACACATTAATATCCAGCACCCACCCGTGCATGCCAGAACAGAATGAGAGGCTAACTAATTAAAAAGATTCATAGTTGGATAGATCACCTTTATAGGTACTTTACTTTTAAAAGTAACAGAAAATTTTACTTTAATAATATTTTAATTTTTACATGGGAATTCATTTTTTCATATCCTTTCAAATACTGTCTGTGAAGATTTCATATGGCCCTAGGACCAGGTTTTAACCCCAGCCCTGAATTGTCCATAAATGTCTGTGATTTCCCAGCTGTCCTAGCAGAGGGTCTGGGAGTCATTCTGGGAGTCTGGGTCTGACTCTAGGACAAGATGTTGCCTTCTGGGAGGGAATAGTACTGGTGACAAGAAAACAGTGTAAGTCTCATGGAAGAACCAAATTAGGAAGCCAGACAAACCTTCTAAAGAAATTTCTGTGAATATAGGGTAATGGTATAGAAATTGTGGAGACCTATTATTAGCAAACATTGAAGAAGAGGGAAAGCAGTGGAGTCGAGATTTCTTTAGCTCTTGACCACATAGCTTTTTATGTGGCAGTTATCCTGGAATATGGAGTACCCTGTGTAGCTAGGCATTAATCTTCAATGTGGTTTTATGCCATTTAGAAATGTATTCTAGAGTACTTTCCTCATATCCTTTTTGTAATTAGGTGGATCCCCCAAGTATTATTACAAATAAGTAATTATGTAGCATCTAGATCCTGGACACATACTACTTGGTATGTATACTACTTGGTATAGGATTTTCAATGTTTTTAGGGTATAGTGAGATGGGAGAAGGGGAGAGATGGGGTCAATGGAGCAAGTATACAAATTCATATCTAAGATTACCCATTTTAGATATAATGAGTTTAATAGGAAATGAGAAAAGACATCTATAAAACAGCAGAGTTTCTCACTAGTTACTAGTGAGTTTTTTAATTTACTTATAGAACTATTATTCTTTGTGATTAACTACATTCTTGTAATTTGTCCTGTTACATTCCATTTAGGTTAGAATGGCTGAGGAGCATTCTGAATTTGTGATTGGTTTTATTTCTGGCTCCCGAGTAAGCATGAAACCAGAATTTCTTCACTTGACTCCAGGAGTTCAGTTAGAAGCAGGAGGTAAGTCTATCCCTTGGTCCTGATTCTTCCAAAATGTTTCTTTATCCAAGTCAGAGAAGGCAAAATGAAATTTTGTGTGTTGTCATAAAGTTGATAAAAGAGAAAACTTGTTTGTCCAGAACAGTAATAACTGAGCTCTTTGGCCTGGTGATACTGACCTAGGTACACAGAATATTGGCTTGGCCCAAAAGTTCATTTGGTTTCTTCCATAAGATGGCTCTAGTAGTCCTGGCTGGTGTGCCTCAGTGGATTGAGTGCTAGCCTGTGAACATAAAGGTCACTGGTTCGATTCCCAGTCAGGGCACATGGGTTGCAGGCCAGATCCCCAGTTGGGGGTTTGCAAGAAGCAACTAATCAATGTATCTCTTGAACATCAATGTTTCTCTCCCTTTCTTTCTCCCTTCCTTCCTCTCTCTCTATAAATAAATAAAATCTTAAAAAAAAAAAAATAGATGGCTCTAGTAGTGCTCAGCTGTCTTTAACTTCATTTGAAACAATTTTGTTAGATTGTATTGTGACAGCTGTCATATCAGCAGGCATTTAAAAAAATATCAATATTGGTGAGTTTTTGTGTAGCAATTTTAATATTGAAGATGGAAGAAAATACGCAACATTTTCAGCATATTATGCTTTATTATTTCAAGAAAGGTGGAAATGCAACTAAAACACACAAAAGAGATTTGTGCAGTGTATGGAGAAGGTGCTGTGACTGAGCAACGTGTCAAAAGTGGTTTGCGAAGTTTCGTGCTAGAGATTTATCACCGGACAATGCTCCATGGTTGGGTGGATCAGTTGATGTTGATAGAGATCAAATCAAGACATTAATTGAGAACAATCAGCATTATACCATGTGGGAGATAACACATACACAAAATATCCCAGTCAGTGAAGTTTTTGGTGAAAATGAAAAATGTGTCTTATTTTACAAAAAATCCCAAATGGTCTTTTTGGCCAACCCAATAGCTTACAGTCTAATTTTAGGATGAAAATTCAGAAAACTGCTTTTCATTGAAATGTACCCAGATATTTTAGTTGTGTTTCCCAACTGATGTTCTGAATATGCTGCCAAAGAAGGTGTTCCATGGCTCCAGGAAGAATGCACCAGGCTAAACAAAATCACATGTTTGCTGCTTTGTTAGACGACTTTGCAGAGCCTTTGATGTTCTGTTGTCTGTTATGACTCCAGTGTGGAGATATATGGTTTGTCATGTCTCCCAAGCTTATTTGAACATGTAACACTTTCAGCAATCTAAGAAACACAGTTGCAGTGGCTAAAAGCAGTCCAGATTTTCTCACTGATGTTCTCATCAGTAGAGGAGTAATCGAGGTTATAAAAATACACATATTTAAATATCCTTCGAGACTCAGCAAAGCTGCTTCTGTTTTGAATGTGGAAGAAATGAGACTTGGAAAACTTTTTTTTTCCCCCAGAAAAGGCTATTCAAGAAACATTGCTTATCATGGGTATGGGAATTTACTCTGTCCTGCTTTCCATCTCTTTCCTTCTTTATGGATTAGGCTTAAGAAGTTGGAGACTGGAACTCTGAGCAGTAGGGTTCTTAGCAAAACTAAAGTGAAAACATTTATGCTTATTATCCCTCAGAGTAGTTTGTCAGGTTGATACTCTGATGTGTTTACACTGAAAAGTTTAAAAGGTGACTTTAAAAATATGAAGAGAATTATACTAGTCATGCTTGTGTGACTCATACTCATCTCTCCTCCATACCAGTCTTTCCCCAGGCTACCTTGCTTTCCTCTCCAGAGATAATCATGTAACTGGTGTGACATGTATCCCTGCATACCTTTGGCTTTGTGTGTGCTTACACACACACACATAGAGTTTGGAGAATGTTTTGTATCTGCACCTCTATTACATTTCCACATCTAGAGTGACCTTGTACCAACTGCACAGTGTTTCCTAGTTAGGATTGGTCCATAATATGTTTAAGTATTCCCATGTTGATGCATTTGGACTGTTAACAAACAATGAACATCCTTGTATATATTTTTTTCTGGAGTAGTCTTCTAGGCTAGGAACCCCTAAGGAGGAGAGCTCTTTCTGAAGATTGCTTATCCTCCAGCACAGTGCCCTTTGCTACATAAATATTCTGTAAGTATTTATGCAAATGTTGAAGGAATGGACACTGCGCTTTTTAGGAACAAGTCAAAGAGTCGGTATTTCTGTAACTGGGATCACAACACACAACATCATGATTGAGGGCATGAGTTTGGTAAACCTTGGTTTTCTTTTTAAATTCAAATACTAGAACTAGAATACTAGAATAGTAGATACCCATTAATCTTGAAGGGGCCCATTATTTTATATAAATCATATAACCACACTTAAAGAAGGTACTGCCTTTTGGGGATTTTGTTTCTAATCAAGGACTTTAAACAAAAAACATTACAGAAGGTTAATCAGAGAGAAAACTAATGAGAATTCAGATAAATTAATGAATGATAGATGTACCCCAAGGTTATAGAACGTCAGAGGTCTCAGTTTCTCAAGCCTCATGTTACTGATTCTGTACCCTGTAGAGCAGACTTCAGTGGGGTGACTCGTCTCTGTAAGGCTTTCTAACAGTTGCCTCAGTACTCAGCTTTTGACTTTTTAAAAAACGCCACATTTGTGCTGAACGTTTTCTGGGTCAGCTTTGGATTTCTGGCCCTTCTGTTTAGTAACATATGTCTTTGGACAGGTCACTTTATTTCAGTCTCATTTTCTTGATCTTGTAAAATGGGGACAGTAGTGTTATTGAGAGGCTTAAGTGAGATAATGTGTTTAAAGCACTTAACCCAGGCCCTTGATACAAGGTAAGCATAAGCACGCTATGCTTGTCAGCTGTTAATGTTCATTGTAAGCCCCACAATACTTTGAATAGATAGTACAGTTAGGATCTAGGCTTTTAAGGATATTTAAAGCATTTTTAATTTGAGAGAAAATAAGGCATTTAACAGAAGGCTTCTAGAACAACAGAATTTTAAAAAGGAAAAGAATGAGTTTCTGGTTCAGAATGGCAATGTATGAAGTCCTGAACTTACCTCCTCTCACGGACGAAGTCTTATAGCTACATATGGAACAGTTTCCTCTGGGAAAAAAAACAAAACTAAAGGCTAACTAAGCAAGGACTACACATCTAGCAAATAAGAAAAAAGCCATCTAAGTTAGTAGGAGAGGCTGGAGCACAATCTCACCATAAACTTCACCCTTGACATGGCAGTCTACAACTGGGAGGGTTTGAACTGCACATGCAGACATCCCAGCTTTTAAGATCTACACCTGAGAGATGAGCCTCCAGAACATCTAGCTTTAACACTAAAGGGCTTGTGTCCACGAGACCCACAAGACTGTAGTGATGGGAGAAATGGCTTTTAAAGGGGTAGCCCAGTCAGACTCACCTGCCCCAGGGCCCGGCTTAGGCAGCTGAGGGTACCCAGGGATTAGGTAAAAGAGGCTCATTTACCGATATAAAAAGTGTCGACCTGCGGGGAAGGCATCTAATCTAACACACATTTAAGAGCTTGCCAGAATATTCTCCAGGGATGGAGACTAGTGGGCACCGTCTTTATGCTCTCCCTCTGCTTTGCTCTAGCTAGTGGGAACCATCTCTATTTTTTTTTAATACTAGGCCTTTAACTCCCCACTTACATCATGGATAGATCCACCTAGACAGAAAAATCAGTAAGGAAACATTGTTTTTACTTAAGGAACATGTTAGAACAGGTATATTTCAAACATTCCATCCAAAAGCAAGAATACACACATTCTTCTCAAGTGCACATAGAATACTTTCCAGGATAGATCACAAAACAAGGCCACAAAACAAAGGCTTAATAAATTTAAGAGGATTGAAATCATACCAAGCATCTTTTCCGACCATAGTGGTGTGAAATTAGAAATCAGTTATAAGAAGAAACTGAAAAATTCACAAATACGTGGTCACTAAACAACTTGCTACTGAACAACCTATGGGTCAAAGAAGAAACCAAAACAGAAAAGCCTTGAGACAAACAAAAATGGAAATACAACATATAATTTAGAAGATGCAGCAAAAACAGTTCTAAGAGGGGAAATTGAGAGTGATAAATTTCTACTTAAGAAACAAGAAAAATCTCAACATTGCACCTGAAGGAACTAGAAAAAGAACATACGAAGCTCAAAGTTAATGGAAGGAAATAAGGATCACAGAAAAAAATAGAGACTGAAAAGAGAATAGATAAAAATTGATAAGACTAAGCTGGTTTTTGAAAAGATTACAAATCTTTAGCTAGACTCACCAAGAAAAAAAGAGAGAGGACTCAAAATCAGAAATGAAAGAGATGTTTCAACAGATACCACAAAGGATCATAAGAGACCACTATGAACAATTATATGCCAACAGATTTGACAACCTCTAAGAAATGGATAAATTCCTAGAAACATAAACCAACCAAGACTGACTCATGAAGAAATAGAAAATCTGAACACTGATTACTGGTAAGGAGACTGAGTTGCTAATCAAAAAAACTCGTAGGACTAGACAGCTTTATTGGTGAATTCTAACATTCAAACCAGGATCAATACCAATTCTTCTTTCTCAAACTCTTCCAAAAAATAGAAAAAGATAGAATGCTTTCAAACTCATTTTACCAGGCCAGCATTACCCTGATAACAAAACCAGATAAGGACACCATGGAGAAAGAAATTTACAGTTCAATATCCTGATGAACATAGATGTAAAAATCCTTAACAAAAATATTACCAGACTGAATTCAAAAATTCATTAAAATGATCACATACCATGATCAAGCAAGGTTAATTCTACAGATTCAAGGGTGGTTTAAATATACAAATCAGTGTGATATACCACTTTAACACAGTGAAGGATAAAAATCACATGTTCAATAGATGCAGAAAAAAACTGATAAGATTCAACATCCATTCATGATAAAGACTCAACAAAGTGAGTAGAGGGGAACTCTCTCAACATAATACAGACACCATTAATGACAAGCTCACAACTAACGTCATACTCAGTGGCGAAAAGCTAGAGCTTTTTCTCTTAGGAACAAGATGAGAATGCCCACTCTCACCACTTTTATCCAATGTAGTTTTGGAAGTCCTAGCTATAGAAACTAGTCAAGAAAAAGAAACAAAAGGCATCCAAATTGTAAATGTAGAAGTAAAATTGTCACTGTTTGCAGAGGACATGTATTATATAGAGAGAATCCTAAAGACTCCACAAAAAAACTGTTGTAAATAATAATCAGTAAACTTGCTGGATACAGAGTCAATATACAAAAATATGCTGCAGTTCTATACACTAATAACAAAAGGGAAATTAAGAAAACAATCTTATATACAGTTGCATCAAAAATAATAAAATACCTAGCAAAAAATTTAACCCAGGAGGTGAAAGACCTGTACATTGAAAACTACAAGACACTGATGAAAGAAACTGAAGACACAAATATATGAAAAGATGTTGTGTGCTCATGGATTTGAAGAATTAATATTATTAAAATGCCCACACTACCCAAAGAGACCTACAGAGTCGATGCAATCCCTATCAAAATTCCCATGACATTTTTCATAGAAATAGAATAAACAATTCTAAAATGTATATGGAACCACAAGAGACCCTGAATAGCCAAAGCAATCTTGAGAAAGAAGAGCAAAGCTGGAGGCATCATACTTCCTGATTTTGTATTATATTAAAAGCTATAGTTATCAAAACATTATAGTACTGGCATAAAAACACACATAGATGAATGAAACAGAATGGTCAATTAACTTATGACAAAGCCCAGAATATGCAATGAGGAAAAGACAGTTTCTTCAATAAAATGTTGGGAAAACTGGATAGCTTCACTATCTTACACGATACACAAAAATTAACTCAAAATGGATAAAAGACTTGAATGTAAGACCTAAAACCATAAAACTCTTAGAAGAAGACATAGGTGGTAAGCTCCTTGACACTGGCCTTGGCAATATTTTTTTTTTTTAATTTGACATCAAAGGCAAAGGAAACAAAAGCAAAAATGAAGTAGGACCACATCAAACAAAAATGTTTTACACAGCAAAGGAAACCATCAACAAAATGAAAAGGCAGCCTACTCAATGGGAGAAAATATTTGCACATTGTTTATCTGATAAGGGGTTAATATCTAAAATATATACACTAAATAACAGGCAAACAATTGGATTTAAAAATGGACAGATCTGAAAAGACATTTTTCCAAAGAAGACATATAGTTGACAAGCACATGAAAAGATGCTTCAAGTCACTAATCATCAGGGAAATACAAATCAAAACCACAGTGAGATGTCATCTCACACCTGCTAGAATGGCTATTATCAAAGGTCAAGAAATTAAGTGTTGGTGAGGATGTGGAGAAAAGGGAACTCTTGTGCACTGTTGATGGAAATATATATTGGTGCAGCTACATATAGTTTATACTATACGGGACAGTATGAACAGGTTCCTCAAGAAATTAAAAAAGAACTACCATATGATCCAGCAATTCCACTTGTGGATATTTGTCTGAAGAAAGCAAAAATCTAACTTGAAAAGGTATATGCACCCCTGTTTATTGCAGCATTATTTATGATAGCCAAGATATGGAAACAACCTAAGTATCTGTTGATGGGTAAATGGATAAAGAAATTGTTTTATGGAATATTAGTCAACCATAAAAAAGAATGAAATCTTTCCATTTGCCAGAACATGGATGGACCTCAAGGGCTTTGTGCTAAATGAAGTAGGTCAGAGAACGACAAATACCATATATGCTCACTTACGTGTGAAATCTAATTAATGAGCTCATTGATACAGGGAACAGATCAGTGGTTGCCAGAGCTGGGGTTGAGGAGGGGGGCAAATGGGTAAAGGGGCTCAAAAGGTACAAACTTCTGATTATAAAGTAAGTCATGAGGATGCAATGTACAGCAAGGCAACTGCAGTCAGTAACACTGTATTGCATATTTGAAAGTTGCTAAGAGTAAATCTTAAATTCTCACACAAAAGAAATTTTTGTAATCATGCAAGGTGGTGGATGTTAAGTAGGTTTATTGTGGTGATCAGTTTGCAATGTATACAAATATTGAATCATTTTATTGTATACCTGAAGCTAATATCATATGTCAGTTATACCTCAATAAAAAAATACATAAAAAGAATGAAAACGCAAAAATTAAGGATTAGACTTTGTATACAGGGTGGGACAAAAGTAGGTTTATAGTTGTGAGTACACAAAACACAGTCTATTTGTGTATTATTATTTATTATTTTCCATACAAACAACTGTAAGCCTGCTTTTGACCCACCCCGTACAGTCAGAGTACTTGATGGGGTTGTGGTAGAAAGGTTCACGTATGTGGCCATGGTCCCAGTAAATGTCTTGTGAGGACTTAACCAATAGTGTCACTGATTCTGAGATGTGTACTAAAATTGTCTTCAACTGTAGGCTTTTTTTTTTTTTTAATACTGTTAAACTATAAGTGCTCTACAGTTGGACGTTGGGAAGGTGTTGGTTAGCTTCTTTCTGCACTGTGGAGGTCTCTGGCCCGTCTGGAGTCTGTCTCTCTACTTGCATTTGTTTCCTCACCGTGCAGAGGAGCATGGAAAGCAAGAACATAGTTTTGTTTAAAGCTGGTTAGGTACTTTTCCAGAAAAGTGATGGGTTTTCTCATGTTTTGTATTGTGTTAAATGGTAACTTTTGTGTTTTTGCAGGTGATAATCTTGGCCAACAGTACAATAGCCCACAAGAAGTTATTGGCAAACGGGGTTCTGATATCATCATTGTAGGCCGGGGCATACTAGCATCAGCTAATCGTCTGGAAGCTGCTGAGAGGTACAGAAAAGCTGCCTGGGAAGCCTACTTGAGTAGACTTGGCGTTTGAGTGTCTCAGAGCCCATCTTCTGGAGAAGGATTTGAAGACCCGTTGTCTCCTGAGATGTACTGCCTGGGAATAATAAGCAGCTTCGATACTGTTTGGATTCTTCTGTCAGAATGACTTCCAAAGTTACCAAAGTATTTAGGAAATATTGCATGGCTGGAATCCCTGCATTATTGCTGTAATAAGTTCATTTTTAAGCATTCTTTTAATGAGACTCATGTTGGCTAGGCAATTATAGTCCTATCTGTGTTAAAGTCTTCCACATTCGAGGATCCCCCACTACCTCTAGGTTAGATTTCTTGATTTCTTTTAATTGCCATGACACAAAAATTTTAGGACATACGGGGTACAACATTTCTTGCGTCCTTTATCCTGTGTTTAATGTGATACCTAAATAATAAAATAATAGCTGTTCTCCTCCTCCTAAAAGCGATAGTCCCGGTATCCAAATGGTGCTGGTTCCCAGAACTGCCATTGCCCCCTCACCAAGGGGAGCAAGGTGGGGCAGCGGGAAGGCGACGACAGCTGAGCCTCTGAAGCCTACGTCTGGCTTCCCTTTCAGCAGAGGGCCCTGCCGTGGGTCCTCCCCTGAGCAGCAGCGGCAGGCTTGTGCTGAAATCCTGCCACAGCTTCCTTTTGCCTTATTTGGATGACAGATGGACAAGCTGCTCCTTCATTTATTTAAAAAGAGAGCAACATCAAGGAGTCTAAGGTTCCACTTGGAGGTTTGCTTGAGGATCCTAATTGTCCCTACTGTCACTGACGGAGAGGGAAGTCATCCGTCACTAGCCCTGAGGAGAAAGGTCCTTGGCAGCAGAGGGGATGCTGTCCATGTCTCTGGGTTTCCACCACATCTCTGTAGTAGGGCCAAGGACACCCACCTGTCCTCCCATGCCCCACCTTCACATAGGTGGCAGGGCCAGAGAGGCAGCCCTCTCCTCATCAGGTCACAAATGTACTCTTTCCCAGAAGTGCCTCCCAGTTTCTGGAGAATCTTTGTTCTCCAATACTGATACTCCCCATTTTTGTATTTATTCAGGAAGCAGCTTGGAGGGAGGGAGAGTAAAGGATGTGGGTTCAGAGGACCTTTTTTTCCATCAGCATTTATTTCTATAACTCACTTTGACCTGCACCCTCTACGCCATATTTACCGCATTGTCTGTGTCCTTGAGTGCTCGCTCTCTGCCGTTATTGCTCAATCTCTCCACCTACTCCGTGCAGTCAAAGCCCTGGTTGAGCAGGTCCAGGGTGGCGGTTGCATTTGAAGGCTCAGTTCTGATCCATCAGCACACTCACAATTTGCCTTGCCTTCTTGTCTGGACCTGGCAGGTGTCGGACAGCATTTCCTCGTGATTACAGCTGTTCCCGTCCCTGACTGCCCCACTGCTCTGATGACTTGGGCGGAAGCCTGAGATTTCCTTTCGGGCTTTCATGGCATTGCCCTTTGGCGTCTGCTGCTGCTCTGAAGTCCCTGTGCTATATCTCTGCAGGCGTTCCTTTTGGAAAAGGCAAATTATCAAGGAATAAAAAGGCCAGAAGGAAAAGGGGTAACCCTTGGGGCTCCTCTGAAGTCACTGAATGTTAGGAAGAGGAGGAATATCTAATAAAACTGGCAGGAATCAGATGTCTTCAAAGTTTTGGTGACCCTGAGGCTGAGAGACCTTTGGAGTGATGTGCTGGGGTGTCAGTAGTCACTTGATGGATTGAGAGATCAGTGGTTCTCACCTTGAGAGCACGTATCAGAACAACCTGGAGTCTTAAGTCACGCTGGCTCCCACCCCAGCATTTCTGACTGGATAGGTCTAGGACAGGGCTTGAAATTGGGCATTCCTAACAAGTTATCTGGTGGTGCTAATGCTGCTGCTGGTGCAGGGACCGCACTTTGAGAACCACTGCATTGCTGAGTCACATAGCCACATAATCTGTAAGGAGATGCTCTTGGGGCCTGCCGCCTCTTGCGGAGTCATCTACCCCTGCCCTTCAGAAGTGTAAACTACCGCTCCAGGGCTGCCAGGGCCTGTTCTGTTACTGAAGTTCACCCATGGTCCCATCTAAGTAACTTGAAGGGAGATCAGAGAGGCATCAAAGAATCTCGGGGCTTTTGTGTATTTAAAACGCAGAATGCCTGAGCCTCACTGTCAGAGATTCTACTTTAGCAGATTTGGCCTGTGGCATAGAAATACGCTTTTCTTACAGCAGCCTAAGCCCAGTATTGTAAGTCTCTCTATATAAGTAAAGCCCAGACAGTCTGGGAGTCAAAACTTTGGAGCACAAATTGATTCAGACAAAGAACTTGAGCTGTCTTGGGACCGATGAAGGTGCTATTCAGCATAGAAGTACTCTGGAGGCATCAGATAATTTAGCCTTTCTCAGTCAAGGAATATGTATAAAGCATGAGCTCTGAGCATTGTAACACCAGGTCCTACTGAGGAAAACGGGGATGGTTCCCACAGGGTGCCCATAACATCTGTAAAACTAATGGAGTGGAGCATTACCTCCTGGCATCTCCCAGTGCCATAGGCATTCAGTAGAGCATAAACCAATAGATTTCCTAGTGCTGGGGGAAACCTAGGAAACCTCACAGGGCTCTGTTTACTTCTAAACTACGGAAGTATACACCCAGAATAGTACAGGGGGATCAGCCCACAGCCAGCCTGTGGCCAACACAGGCCTGTGTCTCAGTCCCAGCTGCCCCTCATTCTGATATGAGTCACCTCTAAGAAAAGTTCCCTAAAGTAGCCTCTCTAACATCTCAAAAGGGGCACGGGAGGGCAAAGGTGGCAGCCTAAGAACAGATACCTTTAATGTTTTTTTCAACTCCCATGTGCCCACTTCGAAACAAAATGGCTGCTGGCTCTGCGCAGGCAAGGCCTGGAAGCCTGGACCACAGACTCTGCCTAGAGCTCCAGAGAAGGGGCAGATGCAGGGTATTATCCCCACATAAGTGAGAGCAGGGAATAATAGATGGGAGGCTCAGGACTTGGGGGCAAGTGGCACCTGTGTGAGTGTGTGTGCCTGAGAGGCCCACCCAGATCCTCCTGGCTCAAGAGGAGCTGAGGTTCCTGACAGCGTCCTGCCGAGTGCGGTGCCGGCCCCTCAGTGCAGTCTGTGGGCCTCCTGTCAGCCATGGGTTCGCTGCTACATGAGGGGCCACCCCACTTCTCCAGGCACACGGAGCCAAGGGTACACAAAAGACAAAGTACCTGAGGAAATCCCACCAGGGCAAGGAAAACCACCTGTAACAGGTGTAAGCTCCCAAGAAAGCAAGGACCTCACTACTGTGTTCGTCGCAGTGTTCTCTGCGCCTGGAACACGGCCCAGCAAATGTTTCTGAATGAATGCCACAGAAAATGAGCTGTCACAGAAAAACACTTCAAAGACCAAAATAACAAAAATGAGAAGACACAATATTATGTTTGGGGAACTAAAAGAGAATTTTTAAAATTTCAAAATTTGATGGAAAAATTGAAAGATGGTATAATATTGCAAACTACATTTGTGGGCTGGAAGATCAAGTGGAAGGAATCATCAAAATGCAAAACAATGGGACAAAGAAATGGAAATAATGGGGGAGTAGATGAGAGCCTTCAAGAAGACATAATGGGACTAAAGGAAGTAATTATAGACAAAAATTAAGAGAAATTTCCAGTTTGAAAAAAATACGGCTGTAAGTTAAAAGGGCCCACTAAGTCCTAGGCAGGAGTTATAGACAAAGTCATAAGCACATTCTGCAAAAACTATTGAATGTCAAGGATAAAGCATTTTACAAGCATCTAAAGGAATAAATTACTTGTGAAGTAAAAGGAACCAGACTAGTAGCTTACTAACATCTGTGACACTGGAGGCTTGGCGACATCCACAGGCCCTGAGAAGAAAGGAGTGTGTGTCATAACCAGTTACCCTGAATCCAGCCATATGATCCCCCGTAGCCTGTTCGTAGTGCACTTCCCTGCTCTGACTCATAATCCACACTAGTGAGTGTGATGCACTGAGCATGTGCCTTTTAAGGGGCTTGTGAGGTGGAGGCTGGGAGTACAGAGGTAGAGCCGGTCCATCTAGCCAATAGAAAGGGGACCCATTGGCAGCTGAAGTGATCATATCACAGCATCTCAGGAAACAAACTGGGGGAGTTCCTTAAAGAAAATCTAATCCAATCCCATTTTACAAATAAAGAAATCTAGGCCCATTGAAAAATGATTGGCACAAGGTTGCAGAACTAATTTCAAGCAGACTAAGGACTAATATCCCTGTCTCGACTCATTTAATATTTTTTATTACACTTTTACTCCCTTTATAGGTAAATTCAACATTTTTACTAAAATGTAAAGTAAATAAAAAATATATTTACTTTTGTCCTGGTCATTATGGAATTTAGTTTTTAAACTAAGCTTTCAAAAGGACTTCCATACTATGAGAAGAGATATCAGCCAGTCTTTCCTTCTATCGATCACAATTCATATGTGCTTCCATTACTACCAGGATTCAAGAGTAAATGCCAAAACTGAAGTAGCGATTCTATTTTTGTCCCCATTCTTCTCCATTCCCTAAATCCATACACTTTGCCATGTGACTCAGAAGTTTCATTCAAGGTGACTATTTCCACATACCACTGATGCTGGGCTTGGTCATGTAACTTGCCTTGGCCAGTTGAATGTGGGTAGAGGTGATGGTACCATTTCTGAGCCCAGGCTCGTGTTTCTGTCCACACTTATTTCACTTCTGCCCTACCATGAGAAGAACATGCCCTGGTTAACCCACAGGTCCCAGAAGATTAAAAGAAAGGCAAGCACAGCCCTCACGATCCTTCTACACAAGGGCCCTAGCTGCTCTGTAAGGCTTGGGAGTGTGATAATAACTTCCTATCATTTTATGCCATTGAATTCTGGGGTGGTGCATTAAGCAGCAGTAGCAAACTAACACATTTAACAATGTGCCATAGCTCTCACAGATTCAGCTCTGGTTACCAGGAAGACACTAACTACTCCACCAAGATCAACCTTCCTTCAGCCTTCTCAGTCTTCACTTCTGGCTGCTTTTGGTGATCTAAGCAACAGCTGCTTGGCTCTGGTGTGGATACAGCATTTCAACACAGCAAGCCCCGCATCAGTCATTGAAAATGATGATGGGTAACCCCAGGGACTCCACAATTTGCTGCCTCTGCCTCCTAACGGGTGGATACACTATCATGTCAGTGCGGGGGGGCACGCAACTGGCTGACTAAGCGTAGGCTAAAAGCAGTGATATCAAAGCATGTTTTTTTGAAGAAATCTGATTTAAAATATTTTTTAAAAAGCATGGGAGGAAGAAATCAGGATTCCTTGGGGTTCTTTACATTTATTGTATAGTTAATGCTATTT